ACAAAGTTCTGCAGGAAACTGGTGTTTTCTCCACAGCCATTGCAGTATGACACAGCCGTTTTCATTAAGTTCAGGAACCTTTCCATTTTTCAAACTTTTCACGGCTTGTGTAATTTTATCTACAGAAATAGTAATATCTGTTCCCTTCTACACTACAGGCGCGTCTTCCTGCGGATACTCGATTTAATGAGTTCTCAAAGTACTCTTCATCGCCAAAGAATACCCTCATTCTCGCTAAGAGGGTATCAAGACCTGTCCTTAAAGATTCTAAGACTGCCCTTAGTTTACCTGAGAACCGGCAGATAGTCTGCCAGAATCCCTTGTTTACCGACTGGAAATTTGACTACAACATTTACCGAACTTCTCCTAGGAATCAGCTATAGGATCTAGGATACAATCAGTACAGAAGAGATTTCTTCAAAGCATCGATGAACAGCGCCTCAGAGACAATGTGGCTTGATAGCCACTCCTTTTGCATGTAGAAAAAGAACGCAATGGCCTGGATATGTGTTCAGGATGCGAGGCAGCTGATTGAAAATCAGATTATACATATAAATGAAGCATCTCTGCTTCTCCCAAAAGCAAAGTGTGCAACCCTCTGAATGCTACTTTCATGACAGGGACATTTCTGACATGCTTAATTTAGCGGAGAATTGGTGAGGCGCTGATCGACATTTCCATAGCATCAACCGGGAGTGCCAAGCATAATTTGAAGTTTCCCATTTTTTTCGAATTGACTAGTGCTCATTTATCAACCTCAAAAGAAAGAAAGGCAACCTACGCTGGTATTGCGGAACCGTGGAATCTAGTCTGTGAAACTTCTATTTTACGAACTTGAAACTCATCAATAGAACCTATGAAAACTGCTGCTCCCGCAGTCCGAAAGCAGTGGTGGGCGGTTAACATGAATGAATGCATTTATGTATGTCTTAATTTACGAAGTATACAGCAGGTGTGTATGTCGTGCATGAATGAATGAATAGATTAGGATTGAAGGTGCGAAAGGGCGAATGAGTAACTGAATGAAGGAAAGAAATAAAAGCAACCAAAAAGCCTACAAACGCAATATTAATTTCCCAGCATAGTTCTTTACTACTTCTATTGTCAAAGTGATTGGTTCTGCCCGATTTGAGCCTGCAACCAACAGTAAATATGTAGCCCGGTTTCAGTCAGGGAAGATCGATCAGCGAAGCAGGTTTCGAAACGGGATTCAAGAAAGGCTTACTTTCCAACAGCTGTAAAAGCCTGTTCTCAATTGACAATATTCACGACATGCGTCGATTGGTTCACTGGATGAAAAAATGCATTTGACTCGTTCCTTCAGCTCTGACTTAGAGGGCGGATGCTTTCTCAAATTGTTTTCTTTTTCAGTTTGTCTGATGTTAGTGCTGTTGATTTTTCAGGTCAGCTGGCTGCGGCCTAAACATTTAATTCCGATAATTGCTTGAGTGTAAAATTCAGTCAGTCTTGCAAGACACAAAAGATTTATGGTTTTAACCAATGCCATATTCAGTTGAACCCATAGTCGTCTGGAGAAAGGAGTAGTGAGGGGCAACTGTCTTGCAGACGTTATGACATTATGAGCAGAAGAAATCCTACCGCTGTGGTCCAGCAATGACATGTTATTTATATTATGTTCTGACTAGGGCAATTCGCCACATGTAGTACGCTTAAGTAAAGCCGCCATCTCAACAGTGGTTGGCTAATTTGCACAATTAATACGTACCACTAGCGTAAACCGCACAATTTCTAGAATTATTATGGGTTTCTAGATATGTGGCTCAAGTTAAACTGACAACAGCACTCTCCGGATATGAAAGTAGGGCATTTATTATATTCTTGCAGGAGATGCATGATCGTCAAATTAGCAAACATCCACTTGCAGTGTCAAGATTGCACTTTAACATCAGTAACTCTACTGTTTAACGCTTTCTCGCCTCAGAATATGACAGCCGCATAGACACGGAAAGAGACAATTTAAAATTCAGTTTCTTGCAGCAGCTAATCAGCGGCAACCCAACTTCGTGTCTATCATCATTGAAACATGAAGCATGGAAGCGGCCATACAAGAGTAAAAAAG